CTTTTAACTTCACATCAATTGAGCTACCCCCACCTGAAGAAGAGGCAGAGGAAGCAAAACCACTCTTTTCTTCTCTTTCATTTCAGTTGGGTTTTGTGTTTGGCTAGAAGGAAAATCTCCGAGAAAATGTGGCTGGTTTATGTATGCGAGGAGGAAGAAAGAGAGCTTGGGAGGCAGCAAGCGCCGGGATCATGCCCTCACTGCGGTGGGAAGGTGGAAGCCATGGATGTCGAGACTCAGTGGAAGTTCTGCTTTCTTCCCATGTGCTTCAAGATCAAAAGAAAGCTCTTCTGTACTCTCTGTTCTAGACGTCTCGTCTTGTCTTACTAGCTTATTATTTTGCTTCAAATTAAACAATATTATTGATCAAATCCCAAATGGGTTTTCTTCTTTTCTTTTTCTTTTTTTCTTTTCTTTTTTTGGGGGGGATCATTTTTATTGTTGAATATTGTCTGATCTGGTCTGTAGATCTGCTCTTTAATTTCTGATGTGGATTTTGGTTCTTTTTAAATAATTCTTGTATAGTAAAATAGATCATGAGGATGTTCTTTCAGGCAAAATCAAAAGGGATTTTATCAGCCTTGTACATACAAATCATGTGATTGAAAGTTTGTTAATTTCTTGTTAAAGTTTGGGTCTTTTGATAATTTGTAGTTAATTCCTTGTTAAGAAAAATTAATCTTTTCTTTTCTTGATTGTTTTCTTCTCTTTCATTTTCTTTTGTTTTTGGGTACGAATTAGCCCGTTCAATGAATTTTATTAGAATAAAAAGTTTTTATTAACAGGCACATTTATTTTTTTTATTATAATTTTTTTACATAAAATTACATCTGAACAAGAGTTAAAAATTGGAATCAACAAAACGGGCTAAGAGCTAGTGTTGAAAGACTCTGGTAATACGAGAAAACGGGCTAAGAGAAAGTGTTGAAAGACTGGTAATAAGAGCGAGTGTTGAAAGACTCTGATAATAATCTGCAGATGAGGATGCACATCTGTCCAGGCAAAGCTAGTTTTTGGTTACGTGTAAGATTTGTTTGTTTATTATTTTGTCTGAATATCTGAATAATAAAAAACTATATATTTCTGGTTCCATAATTTATTGGCTCAGGAAACAAATCAAAATTGAATAATTTTGCATCTAGATTTCTCTCATTCCTCCCGTGCGTGGTTTGTTTTTGCAAAATTAATAAGGAGAACCAAAAAAAAAAAAAA